GACAGTGCTCCGCTTCCCCAGACTTTTACATTCATGCGGAGGGGGTTCATGCCTCGACGTGCTCAGGGGCTTCAGGTCAGTGATCGCTTGCCACGCTCAATGCGGACTGATGACATGGAGACTCAAGACAATGATGTTTTTGCAATGATGAAGGAATCTATGTCTGACAGTGGTCTATGTCAGGACCCATTGTTGGTGATGCCTGGTGGGCTTTTGCGTGAGTCATCTAGCTGTTTGTTGACTGCGAACAGTAGTGACTGTCCTCTCGTTACTGGGGTGATTGATGCTGATCGACTTACAGAGCTACGGGCAATTCAAAGGGCCCTTCAAAAAGATTTTCCTCACATGCGCAGGGCAGTGACCTTTTATGATACTTTGTTGGCTGGGGGTGGTGAAAATTTGCAGAGTGTGCCCAAGCTTACCTTTCTTGAGCATGCTCATAGGCAAATCCTCCAACCTGACGCTCCACAGTTTGGTGCACAGCCCAAAGGGCCAAAGCCCCACGAGTTGCAGGTGGTTTTTCATCGTTCCAGGTGAAATCAACACCTCTTCAACCATGGAACTTTGCTGGTGGTGGGGTGTCCACTGGCATGAGAGCATTCCCAACCATGGAAAAAACTTGCATGCATCATATAATGTCACAAACTTCGGAATGGCGACCAGCTTGTGGGGAGATTAATTTGTAGGGAGTTTTGGGCATCTCAAAAAGTACTTTTTGAGCAAAAAGTGTCACGTGCTAACATGTCATAACACCTCCGTGTCTTACAACGATTTATAACGTGAAAAAGTGAAAAAATGAAAAGTAAAAAAAAAAAGATTTATATTAGATTGAAAAGTTTTAAAAGTTATGCACCAACAAACATTGAACTGACATGAATTAGTATCCTTGATGGATGTGGCATGGTTGTCTTATTGGCAATGAGAGCAGAGCTTGGTGATGGAACTTCAATCATCAAGTTTACTACATTGCCAACATTACTATTTATTTGGCATGTCTAGTACCTGTGTTTGCATATGCCCAGGATGTATGAACATATATCCACGTCAGGATGCATCCCCAGGTCACATGGCAATGCATATTTCCTGTTGCTGATGTGATATCTCACAAAAACATGCCAACATCTTCCCCTCAATTAGTCAGTCAGTCAATTGTGTCAATTGCATCTGTTGTGTTTCTTCAATTTCTGATGTTGAATGCTTGTGGTGTGAAGTGGTTTCAGATTGAGATTCTCTGAATTGAGTCATTGCTTGAGATGTTACTACATTGTCATTCACCTGCTCGGGCCTTAGTTTGCAAACATGTCTCGTTGACAAATGATTTGCGTCAATTGTGTCATTTGCGTCATTTGGATGTTTGCAGGTCAATGTTTTGTTTGGATGCTTCAAGGAGGGGCTGCAGCGCGTCAACTTCATTCAGGGTGGGGGCCCCAGGATTTCTTTGACAAGCACTTTTGGCAAAGTCATTTTCATCTTGAAAAGTGATTTGGTCAATTGAGTCAATTGTTCATTTTGTTCTACTCATCCAGGGCTTTATTTATTATTCAGCAGCTGTGCCAATGCATCAATCAAATTATGTGAAAGAACGGATGAATGAAAAGAATGTCAGAGGCAATAGGGCTCAAGTTGCGTGATTTGTGTTGATTGATTTGCTGTTTGTCTTAATTGCGTGATTTGTATCAATTGTGGTCGCCAATTGCAGATGGTGAATAGATGGTCAAGAAGAGCGTCTGCTGCAGCAAGTCGAGAGACCACGACTCCACCAGCTCTCAATCAATCAATCAATCCATCCATCCCATCCATCCATCCATCCAATCAATCAAATCAATCAACCAACCCACCAATTCAATTAACCACTAAATCTATCCTATCTATCCTATCCTATCCTATCCTATCCTATCTATCTATCTATCTATCTTTTTATCTATATATCTATCTGTCTGTCTGTCTGTCTCTCTATCCCATCCCCATCCCATCCATCTAATAATAAATTTATCTATCTCATCTAGAATCTAATTATTTATTGCAAGACTAATCAATCATAAACTTGAAAAGTAAATGAATTAGTCAGTAAGAAAATAGAATTATTAAAATAATTATTATGAAATAAAATATTAATTTACTTTTTTTCATAAAATTATACACTTTTATATTAAAATAAAATACTTCGAAAACACTGATTTCCCAGACTTCCAAACCACCAACCCAAACCACCACGTAAGCGTAACCTGATTGCATGTTGGAAAAAAAGAAAATCATATTCAGCCTGTCAGTGCACATTGATTGAATGGGACATGGTTCCTTTACAGTACAAGCTTTGTTCATGGCAGCAAATGAGATGTGATTGCATCTTAGTTTCTTGTGTCTTAAGGTGGCTGGTGGTAACTTGCAGGCTCAGCTTTGTTTCCTTTGAAATGTCAATTGTGTCATTTGCAGTCAATTGACTCCCGGTAAGTCAGTTCAGTGAACCAGGGGAAGTGAGTGTCATTTTAGCCATGCGTCGGTTACAAGATTTCGGCAGGCCTTTGTGACATTGGTGGCAGGCTCATGGATACACCCAGGCGAGGCCTGTGTTGTTCAAGTGCCAGTCATTCAATTTGATTCATTGAATTGCATTGTACTTGAATTACTTGTGGTTGCAAATCATGACAATATGGCAGTTGTCCTGAAGCAACTAGTGCTCGAAGCATTAATTGGATTCAATTGCATCAATGGTGTCATTTGCGTCATGTGCGTCATTTGTATCAAAACAGATTTGAAAACAAGTCATGCATCATGCAGAAAAACATCCTTAAAGGGCAACCCAATGAACAACAACAAACGCAAAACAATTTGATTTCAAATGTATTAAATGTCTTCGGCCTCGATTGCTGTGCAATACCTGCCGTCTGAGTGGCGCTCAACGGTGAGCAAGTGGCCAAGGAAAGCGCAACAGGTCGCTTGATCGCACATGAAACAAACAGGTCGCTTAATTTCAAGAGTGTCACAAGATAAATTTCAACGTTGTTACTAGAATCTGGGAATAGTGCATTAGCAAACTGCTTGCTTGAGGCAATCTACTTGGTCCACCTTGAGTGCCCAAGCAACGCCCAGGACTTGGTGCCCCTTGGATCAAAGAAGTGGGATTAAGTTTGCTGATTTGGGCTTCTATGTTTCATTTGATGATGTTTAACGTTTGTTGTGGTGAGTTCTCTTCAATTGGGTCAATTGTCAGAGAAAGTGTGGGTCAATTCACTTGATTGTTACTCAGGGATTTGGTGGAGAAAAAGAAGCCTGTTGACATCCTCAAGTACGTTCTGTCGATTTCGAGGACAAAGTTGAAGGAGTAACTTACCTGCATTGCAGGATGTTCTGCTTTGATTGTTGCCAATGATGGCTTTCAGCTGGTTCATTACCAAGGTACCACCAGAACAAGGGCATCAAGTATGACAACGTCAGTTGGGTCGCCAAAAAAAAGTGACCAAACCACAGTTTCTTGGCTTATCAAAGAAGTTTGCTGAATTACATTGGCTGGTTTGGATCAAGTGTGTCAATTGTGTCAATTGTGTCAGTCATGTGAAGTGTTGAAGTGCTGGCAATTGTCTGCTTTGGTAATGATGTCAGGTTCCCATCGTGCTTTGGAACTCACAACTGGTCCACTGGCCTCGACGAGTCGCGATCCTGGGGTATGGATCGGGCAATGCGAGGCGTGGGTGGAAGGACAGGGCCTTGTGGAGTCATGATCATGATGGAAATTGACAATTATTAATGTACTTTTGCATAGTTCTCTAGCGGCTGTGTTTGATCTGTGTTTGATTTGATCAAATTGCTTTGTGCATTTCATTGGTTGCAGGATCCACCACCTCAGGTGGTCAGGATCATCGAAAAGTTATGTGGTCACCTGCGTGACCCGATGAAGGAGGTGTGGGAGCACAGGCTTCCGTTGAAGCTGACACGCCAGTGCCTTTGATGCATTAATTAAGATCAAAATCAGAATGTTTGAATGCATTGATGATGATATCATCATTGTGGTTTGGGATTGGATGCTCAGGAGCTTCGAGGAGCACGACCAAACCAAGCAGAGGATGAGCGGCCTGCACGCGGAGGTGCAGGAGGAAGTGGCTTGGCATCAGAATGGCAAGCAGGTTGTCAATTGAGTCAATTGAGTCAAGCTGTCAAGTGGCAGTGGTGTTTGAATTAAATATTGTCAATTGAATCAATTGTTGTCAAATGGCATGCACTGTCAATTAAGCCAGTTGTTATGGATCATTTGCTTCATGGGTCTTTGATATTGCTTTATTTGAATGTAGTCCTTGTAGCGCTTCTCTCATTTAGGTCATCCGCCACAGCGGGTTCAAGTCGGTGGTCCTGGACATTTTGTCCCGGCCAGGGAACATCATCCGGTTTCCTGTCTGCATTTGGCTAGTCTTGACCTATTATTCTTCTTGTGATGCTTGCAATTGTGTCATTTGAATGTGTTGGAGCAATTCACAGTTTTGATGTGAATTTCAGAAGAGCAATTTCACTCAGTCAAAGCTTCAACTTTTGCACATTCAGACTTGTCTTGCTGAGGCTGACTTGCAGTTGGGGCTGGCACCGGACACTTGGGACGGCCAGTGTGATCATCCGGATCTTGCAGATTGCGGGGTGCGAAGTGGTGCTCTTTAGCGCGAAGCTGAGCATGAATCCGCAACTGGATTGCACAAACACCATCGCGTTTCTTCAGGGTTCGCCCAATGTGTGGCTTGCCTCAAATTGAGCTGAGCTGTTTGGATGCTTCACTTGGGGGGTTGTAGTGATAAACTTGTGGGATCGAAATGCGAAGCAATTCAGTTCTCTTACCTTCACAATAAGTTCTGTCTTCAAACATAATGGTTTTTTAACCATCAACATTTGTCCCAATTGAATTGCCTCAATTGATTCAATGGCAGTAATCTTGTAATGTTTTTAATTGATTCAATTGCCTCAATTGACTCATTCAACGACTTGTTGGTCCTTGCCATGGCTCAGTGTTGCTAAGGAACATGCGAACCCTGACTCAGAACCTTCACGACGACTTGACAGGTGTGGCCTGGACCGAGGAGGACTTCGAGCAGAGCCTGGAGAGGGCCCGAAACCTGTGGAGGGAAGTGTGGCCAGAGGCTAGCATCAAATTTCAGCGTGGCAAATCCACAGAGGCTGCCCCTCCACCAGGTCTACCTCCACCCCGGTCAATTGGGCCCATTGCCACAGCACCAATTGGGTCAATTGCGTCAATTTCGTCATCTTCTGCCAGTGGCAGCAAGCCCCCGGCTGCCAAGCCCATGCCTCGGCCTCCTTCAAAACCTACCAGGCCAGCTCCCAAGCCAAAGGAGAGGGAGGCAATTAAGGAGGAAGGGCCACAGGAAGAGGCAGTAAAGACTGAGGGCGCAGACGTCAAGAAAGAGGAGGAGGTCACTGCGGCCCCAGGGTTTGGGCTTGTGGATGAGCTCCAGGCCATGACCCCAGCACAGAAGAAGGCCAGGATACAATTGTTTCAATTGACAAAGCCTTGTCGTGGCCATATTTGATGACATGTTGCATGGTTCCAGTTGAGTAATATCATTGGCATTTAAATTTAATTAAATCATGTTGTTTCCCTTTGTCGCTGATAGGCGAAGCTCAGCCAGCCCTATGTGCGGGAGATGATCCAGCAGCAGATTACCTTCTTGCAGAGCTTGCTTGACAGTGATCTTGAAGGTGGTGATGGATGGGAGGAGGTGTTGTGCCATGGCTGCAGTCCAGCTGTTGGAAGAGGAGTGAATACATTATATAATATTATTTATGACATTTGCATCATGTCATTCATTTCATGTGGTGTCATGCCATGCCTGCCTGTGATTCTGACCGAGGACTGAGCTCCTGGACGACTACAACATCAACCAGGGTGTGCGCAGCATGATCCGCAATGCCAAGGTCTCCAGGAGCCACAAGATCAAGCTCATGTGTCTGGTCTGCGTGTTGAGATATTTGGTTCACAGCTTGGACAACAGGTTTGGAATTGCGTCAAGACCAACAATGGTTTGAATTGTGTGAATTGGTTTCTGAAGCTCAGCTTTGTTGTTTGGAATTGTGTGTTTGTCAATGCCAAGGATGAACATGTTGCTGCGCTGGGGGAGCAAGTTCGAGTCAAATGACTGGTTGCGCAACGCAATTCGCAACTTGGCTTGACATGTCATGAGTGAGCTTTCATGATAGTTGAAAAACATTGATGTCACATTCGATATCAAAAAAATATCTTCAACTTATCAAGAAGCGCTTGTACTCCAGGTCAAGAAGAGCTTGATGCCTCGCATTCGTCTTCCCGGTGAGAATGCATGGCATATTTTTTGTTTTTTTGGGCCAATTGAGCTCAATCAATTTGTGGCATTTGTGTCATTTGTATCAATTGTGTCATTTACAGCTGGAATCTTAAGTGTGGGCATGCGTGGGCATCAATGAGGTTGAACAATGAGTGCTTGTTCTAATTATTGCAAAAAGCAGTGAATGGTTTTTGACAGACAAAGGAATCAAGGTTTGGTGTTTGTTTCCAGTCTATGCGCCCATGCTATCGTGTTTAAGCAAGAATGAAGCAATGACAGTTTGCGCAGATCATTGCAAGTGGATGGTCCCTGTGAACAGCCACAGCCTAGTGCTCATAAACACCATGGCTATGCAAAAAGGAAGCTAAAAAAGGTGAATGCTAATCCCAGTGCAAGGTGATCATGTTGCAGAAGCAGGTGAAACACTGTCATGGCAGCGGATGCTTCATGTTTAACTTGTTGTTCAAAGTTGTTCGGTAGGCAGATCATTGATGAAGCTTGGTGGGATGGGCTCAGTTAACATAGGATGCACTAAGTGTGTAGTTCTCAAATCATAGAATTATCTCAATTGATTGAGTCAATTGTTTCAATTGATGTATTGTCAATTGTGTAGAAGTTGAGTCATTGAGACATCTGTGAGGTTTATTGGGCTGGGTGGACTACTTGGATGAGAAGGCGTGGTTTTTGTCTCAGCAAGAGTGGTTTCATAGCCAGATTATGTCATTTAAAAAATGTGTCAATTAAAAGTTGGTCAAGTAGGAATGGTGTAAGTGATGGCTCAACTAAGATGTGACATCCCCATGTGTGAGGCAGATCGAATGATTGGCCTTGGTGGTGTTCTTCGAACAGCAGGCGTGGTCTTTGTCTCAAAAATGCATCAATTTGCAGTACATGATTCATCAATTGTGTCAATTGTGTCAATTGAGTTGCTTCAGCTGCTTCAGTTGGATTCAATATTCACCAATATACTCACACAATATATTTCCAGAATTTAAATTTAGATATGAAGACATAATGTCAAGTTCATGGAGATGAATATTCAAAACTATGAATACTTGAACGAACTGCTCAAAATTGCTCAAAATTGTTTAAAAGTACTTATACCTGCCCACAAAAATCTGCTCAAAATTGCTCAAGCTTATTGAAAAGTACTTATATCTGCCAAAAAAAAAATGCTCAAAATTGTTTAAAAGCACTTATACCTGCCCACAAAAATCTTCTCAAAATTGCTCAAAATACCTGCCCACAAAATCCGCTCAAAATTGCTCAAAATTGCTCAAAATTGCTCAAAATCGCTCAAAATCGCTCAAAATCGCTCAAAATTGCTCAAAATTGCTCAAAATTGCTCAAAATTGCTCAAAATTGCTCAAAATTACTCAAAATTGCTCAAAATTGCTCAAAATTGCTCAAATTTGCTCAAAATTGCTCAAAATTGCTTAAAAAGTACTTATACCTGCCCAAAAAATCTGCTCAAAATTGCTCAAAATTGCTTAAAAAGTACTTATACCTGCCCAAAAAATCTGCTCAAAATTGTTCAAAATTGCTCAAAATTGCTCAAAATTGCTCAAAATGGCTCAAAATGGCTCAAAATTGCTCAAAAATGCTCAAAATGTCTCAAAATGTCTCAAAATGCCATTTTGAGAAATTTTGAGATGATTTTGAGACATTTTGAGACATTTTGAGACATTTTGAGACATATTGAGACATATTAGGTGATAGAATCAACACGATGCATGATAATAATGTAGTTAGATCAATAACGTTGTATGGTGTGCAAATCATGATTAGGTGATAGAATCAACACGATACATGATACTAATGTAGTTAAATCAATAACGTTGCAAATCATGCTGCAGCCTGTGAGTGAGTCAAGCAATTGTAGCCATCACATTTGACACAATTGTATTTTTTTTGGTTCTGCTGGATTACATCGGTTCTATGTTGGAGGAAGTCCATTTCCTCAATATTTAAGATTTCAACTATCAAACACACAGGCATATTTTAATGTAGATGTCGTATGTCATACTGAATTGCAAACCGATGTCATCAATACAAAAAATGCTGGTAATGCTGATTTAGTCTTTAAAAGGGTGATGTTGAATATATGAAGTTTGAAGGAACGCTACAAGCAGTGGAACTAACAAAAGGTGCTGAATCAAACACCTATGATAGTATCGGTAATGCTGATGTCAGTTTTAGAAGGAACACCATAGATTTTATGTATTTCAGAAATGGTAATGTAGAAGTAAATGCAGGTATATCATTAGTTGCTGAAAGTGGTAAGTTTGATGTAATTGATAGTGCCACTCCTACTAATGTAGTATTTAAAAGGGGCGGTGTTAATTTCTTTACATTAGACGGCACTAAAAATATAATTGATGTTTCAACAGGTAGGGCGTTGTCATCTCAATATATTTACGGAGACTATTTTATCCACAGAAATGTTGGTGCTGATATGGTTTTTCAAGGCAGTAATACAACAAATGACGGTTCAGTAGAATATATGAGATACAGAAAAGCAGATGAAGATGTTAATTTTTCAAAAGACATATATGTCAATCAAGACAAAAGGGCATATTTTCATAAAGAAACTGGCAAGAATAGTTATATATTTAATGAAAATACAGCAGGTGTTAGTCATTTCAAGTTCATCAATGAAGACCCTAACGGGGACATAAGATTTTATGCTAATAACAGCATAAGACTTTTCGTCACGCCATCAAAAGTTTCTGTTCCAGCACCTTATACATTAGACGGGGATTTAGTAGATACATCCGATTTTACTAAAAAATATGACATTAAAAGTATTGAGCATAATTTCACTGACATAGTTAAACAAATTGAACCTAAAAATTTCAAAATGAAGGAAGAAAAAGAAATAGGAATAACTAAAAACCATTTTGGATTTATTGCTGATGATTTAATGAATGTAATACCTCCTGAATGGGAAGATATTGTTAGGGTTGATGATGAAGGCATTAAGAAGTTAAGTTATATAAAATTATCAGGTATATTGTGGGGGGTATGTAGAGAGCAACAAACAAAGATAGAGCATTTAGAAACCCGCTTGTTTGAAGTTGAAAACTTCATCAAAGATTTTGTCAAGCCTAAAGCAAAGGCGAAATCCAAATCAAAGAATTAAAAATCTAAAACCATATATATAGGTAATGGGCAATTCAAACAGCAGTGTTGAAAACGACTACCTTGAACAAATCAAAAAGATAGACGAAGACGAAAAGACCCGAACAGATGTTTTACTCATCAAGAGCGTAAAAGAGTTGGTGGGAAGAGTGGAGAAACTGGAAAAGGAGAAACAAAACAAACTGATATATCAACTATACCGAAACTACAACTCTGTAATTGGAGTTTGATATGAACAATTGATAATATTATTGTTAAATAATATTATTAATTGGAAAGTGAGTAGTGCCCATAGGGGAGACTGTCAGTATCGTTGAACCAATACCTTTTGTTGTCATAAGATGTTAAACCGACCTTGCTTTGGTTTATACTGTAGATTTGGTGGTTCTTACTTCTGATGGCATTGAAATTTACATTCTTTGGTATGTGTTCGTGGAGTGTTGCCTCATAGTCTTTCATATCTAAATCCCTTTTGACTTTCAGTTTTGGAACACCCTTTGCTTTCTTTTCTGCTTTCTGTTCGTTGAATACTTTTAGACAATACATCTTCGGTCTCAACGCTATGAAGTTTGTGATGATTTTTCCATCCATCTCGTCCTTGAATTTGCGAAGGACTTTTTTGTTAGTGGCATCATAGCAAGGGTGGTCTTTATCATAACCGCTGAAGTCCATATAATCCTTTATCCCTTTCCAGTCTTCATAGATGTCTTCGGTGAAAGTTTGTATAACATAACTGTCGGTGTCAGTGTATATCAGTCTTACATCATCCTTATACCTTGCTTTTAAGACATCATAGTAGAACGAATACATATGAATCTTTGAAAGGTCTAAAATGGTCATTCCTAAATAAATTGGTTTGTTTAACACCAGTTTTGCTTTAACCTTTGAAACTCCTACCAGTTCTTCATTGATTATGTGGCATCCTTGATAGGTTGGACTGTTGATACATTTTTGTAGTCTTACCTGTGATGAGACTAACTCAAAGTCCATATGTTTTCTCACATTCTCCATCGTTTTTCCATAAACAGCGTTGTTCATCAATTTAAACATATCTTTCTCAAAGTCGCTCTTTGCCACTTTGCGCTTTTCAGTGTTAAAATCAATCCAAGTCTTTAACCACGCCCTTTGTTGGAACTTCACCCCTCTATGAATGTGTTT